TTTCCTTGTTTTTTTGGCTCTTACAAAAAAACTGTGCAATTTAATGTATGATACGACTGCGACGACGTAATGTAGGGGTGACTAGGTCGAGTCTTGCCTTTGTTTTTCGTTCCGTTTTAACTGTCATTCTCGTTATGTAGATCTGTTGTATGACTCATTCTTATGCTATGTTTATATCGAATTTGATTTATGGACAGTTATTTGTTTTATAGGCGAAGAAAATTGAATCCGTTCGTTTACTTTCCCAGTAAAATTTACTCAGTAAGAATTTTCAGAGAGTAAAATAGTAAAAGAGAGAAAATTGTAAACGAACGACATCCAGTAAAAATCGACACAGCTGATAAAAAGCAAGAAACAATTTGGCGCATTCAAAAAAAGCTGAATTTTTTATTAACAAAATGGATGACAATCGGAAAATTGATGTTGATTATAAATACTTGCGTGTTCTTCACCCAAGCTTCCGATTACCGCAGAAATTGGAGGGTATCTGATGAATGTTCCTTTTCGGATAATTTAAAGACAGCCTTATAGGAATCCAAGGAGAACAAACTGGGAGAAATTTACGGAGCTAACGAACTCCCAGCTGACTTTTAATACAAACTTGGGGACTGCTGTGGAACTTAATGGGGCCGTGGACAATCTAACGGGCGTTCTTCTCAGATGTCATAAGGAATCCTGTCCACTTACATACCCTGGGAAAAATCTCAGCCAGTGTGGTGGAACAGGGAACTTGGTGAGCTCAGGAAAGCGACCAGACGACTGTATAACAGGGAGCATAAATCAAAACTCGATATTGATTTGAACTCCTATAGTGCGTTTATATTGTACTGGATTTCGTTAACCCAGTGGGTTTCAATTGTCAATTTCTTTGAACATATGCCAAATAAATCCTCATAAAGTAGGTTAACCCGGTAAAATGTTCTAATTTAAAAGCCGTTCTACAGAGCTAATTTCAACAAATACAAGAGTGAGATCAAATGCGCAAAAAAAGTCTTGGATAAGTTTCTGTGAGTCCATAGAAGGAGTCAACAACGCTGCTGAAGATTACTATCCAAGGATCCGAAGTCCATCGGAAGTATCAAGAAGCAGGATGGAGCGTTGATGGACTCTGGTTTTGAGATTCATTTCTCAAGTTTCAAAGATATAGGTACCATCGACCTTAAACGTAATGACACTCAGCCTTTTGTGCCTCTAGATTTGGATCTCATCGGCAAGGTGGTTAACAGAAATAAGATACTATGGGCAGTTAAAATATTCAAACCGTATAAATCGCCAGGACCAGATGGAATCACACTGGCGATGTTTCAATTTGCCTCACCAAGTATATATCTGATCCTTGAGAGGATTTATACGGAATGTTTGACTCTCTCGTATGTTCCGGATCTATGTAAAGGTTACATACATTCCCAATGGGGGGAAACCAAACCACTCTGCACCAAAGGACTATAGAGGCATTAGCTTATCATCCTTTCTCCTCAAGACTGATCGACCTGGAGATTAGGAGTCGTATAGACACCACCTCTCTTAGCAATTCACAACACGCATACATAAAGGGCAAGTCTGTAGAATCTGCACTGCATGAAGTGGTAGGTTACATTGAGAGGAATATGGAAAATTCAAATTTTAGGCGGGCCGCCTTCCTAGATATAGAGGGAGCCTTTAACAACGTTAAACTTAAATCAATAAACCATTCGCTTAAAGATGTTGGCACTCCTGATACCCTTACGTATTGGATAGATAAAATGCTAAACAGCAGAATTATTATTTCAAGTGTGTGGGATACAAAAATCAGGAAAACGGTAACTAGAGGCATACCTCAGGTAGGGGTGCTCTAGCCGTCAACTACGATGGAATAGGAACGCTGAGGAACGGGTGAAGGGAGGGCTGATTGCACTCTATGCATGCAAGAACTCCATTGGGAAAAGCTGGGGGCTAAAACCATCGACTATACACTGATTGTATCACACCGTGGTAAGGCCCATCCTATCCTATGGTTCTCTTGTGTGGTGGAACTGTCTGCGCCACAAGTCGACATTCAGTACATTAGATAAGTTACAAAGAGCCGCCTCGATTTTAGTTACAGGAGCCAGGAGGAGTACACCACAGTCAGCTCTGAACGCAATGCTGAATTTTAGGTCCCTGGGCCTCAGCATTAAGTGTTAAGCCGTGCGTAGTGCCCTAAGGCGAAGTTGTACCTTTGGGCATGGTCGTATCTTGAACGAGCCAGGTATGACATTGGGCCAACGCGTAAAACTAGTCCTGAGACCAGTAGATGTCGTTATTCCTAGTAGAAACGACTGGGTCAGAAGAAGTAAGGATCCAAGATGGAAGAAGGTACAGGGGCGGGCGTCTACTGTGAAAGTCTAGGTCTTGAGTTAACCTACAAGCTATATTGCAACTGTAGTGTTTTCCAAGCTGAAATCTTCGCGATTTGGAAGGCAGCGGAATTGATAAAAAGTCTGGATGCAGAGGTCGTTGAGTCGGTGACTATCTTTGTGGATAGTCAAGTGGCTCTTAAAGCCATCAAATCTTGTTGTATCAAATCTGACGCCATCATCTAATCTGACGCTTTGTAAGAACTTACTTAGAGCTATCGGCTGTGTTGGGTACTAGGACACCTTGACATCTTGGGCAATGAAAGAGCAGACGAACTAACTAGACGAGGATGTCAATCCACAGATCTAGCAATTGTTGACTCAATCAAACCACCCATATGTCATCTTTACCGGAACTTTGAAGCGTTTTTCGACGAAAGAGCCTATGAACTTTGGTGCAACGTGTCAAGATCCATTTGTTGAACCAGAGCAAAGCTGAATTAAGAGTATTGATAGGAATCATTACTGGTCACTGCAATATCAGGCTTTACTAGTAAATGGGATGTTGATGCAATTGATTACTGTAGACTCTGCGTTGACGAGGAAGAGACGGAGACAATTGAGCATCTCCTGTGTCACTTCCCAGCCCTGCCTAAAGTGATTGGGAAAGTGCAACCTTGACACGTAATAGGTTCGTTCCCGTACTTTTTGATAGTAAAGCCAGGGCTGCCAGATTTGACGATTTATCGTCATTTTGACGATTTTTTGGTCAAAAATTGGTCATTTTAGTAATATTGCAATATTTGGGTTCTTTTTGTTATGGCAACATCAAAAATGTATAAAGCGAAAGAAAAAGTAAAACGAATATGAATATTTGGCATATGTGTGTGAGGTATACTTTGTATTGTTACAAAGCCAACAACAGTTTAAAGCCAACATCTGCGTAAACAGATATATGAAAAACTACCAATCAGCTGTGCCGTTCTCTGGGTAGACAGCAACAAAAAAATAAAAGTTAACGGTTGTTGTTTTTTGACACAGGCAAATAGAAGAAAATTTTTGAACGGAAAAGTTGTTATATTAAATTTAAGTTTCAATTTATACAAAGTTATTACAATTTTAAAAAGATTCGATTTGAAAGCATTTTTAAAATTGTACCTATGATAAGTGCCACGTATATTAGTAATGAAAAGAATAATTCATTTTTCGATATTCTTTAAGGATATCCACATTTTGTGAACGAAGATGAAAAACAAAAATTGTATTCAGAATTTCGCGAACTAAGGTTATTTCGTTTTTGGAATGCAATATTTGATTTGAAACGTGGTGATGGTTCATATGTTTTTCCTATAATAACTAAATTTGTATGGAAGGTAATGGTATTACCCCATTCCTCAGCAAATGTTGAACGTGTTTTCAGCCAAGTAAATCTTAATAAAACGAAAAGTCGAAATTATTTTTATTTAAAAGTTAACAAAACAAATTGTTATGATACGTTAATTAAAACCGACATGTTGAAAATGATTAACACAAATATTTCTTTTCAAAATGAATGACTTTATTAAAGTCGAAATGACTATTCAAATATTTATTTATAAAATAAATGAATTTCTTGATTAGCTTAAAAAAAAACGTGTTTAATAAATTGAATACCTCTTTTATGTTCCTTTTAATAAAAAAATATATTTAAATATATCTAAATGTGCGTATTTAAATTTTTGACGATTTTTGATAAAAATAAAATCGTCATTTTGGCGATTTTCCCAAAAAAAATCTGGCAGCCCTGAGTAAAGCTAGTAAAAGAGCGAACTATCAAAAATGGCTCTCACATACAAGATTCTGCACGCCATTCATCTTCGGTAGATAAATCCTCCAAAAGTGAATAAAGAACTTTTTCTTCATTCTTAATTCTTTTGTTTTTTTTAAGCAAATATGTGTGTCTGTGCGTGTGTCTCGTTGGTTGACGCGCTAACTTGCATATGCTTTATTTCGAACTGTATAGCTCTGGCAATCAATTGTCAAATTCGAAATTTACTACATTTACTATTTCGTGCTAGGCCAAATTGGTCTTGCAGAAAATAGGAGAAGAGAACGCAATTTTGATTTCAACTCTCTTAAATTTAACTGAAATGTTTCCTAGTTTTTGACGTAAGGGAACGCTTTTCTAGCAAAAACAGCAAAGCCAGTACAATATAGTACTATATTGCAAGTTTGGGAACACAGCTAATATATCTCTATAGCCATCGACATTATTCCAATCTTAAAGTACGTTTACATTATAACGAATTTCGTTATCCCAGTGGGTTTAAATTGTCAATTCCTTTGTACACATGTCAAATAAATCCTTATAAAGTAGGTTAACCCGGAAAAAGTTCTAATGTAAATGCCGTTTAACTTCTTATATCTTTCTGTAAGCTTCTCATCTCTCTCTATTTCCCCTATAGATCTGTCCTTATCTCTTTTCTTCTAGTGGATGATCAGGTCCGTTGCGGTCTCAGAGTGCTGCAGCCACATAAGTGACCGCACATCCCCCACCTACCGCACGTAAAATTGCCTAATGTAAATCAGAACTAATTCACACTCGATACTGGAGGGAATAAAATTCTGAATATTTTTTTAAATCTATATTTTTTTAATTGTACACATTTTTGTGTATTTCTTTTCAAATATTTTGATATAATAGATATGGATAAAACGTCCACTCCCCATCCTGCTGGAGAACAACGCCTCGCAAAAAACGAACGGATAGGTGATGGTTTAGAGGAAGCTGCCGGATATATTTTAAATGCAAAATGTCGCAAATCGATACAAAAGGCAAGAGAAAATTTTGCAAGTCTGAGTACCTCCCCCGTACTACCCGAAGAACATGTTAATGATCTCCTAAGTCCCGAATTAAAGAAAAGTCATTTTGTTACATTTCGTGAACAATTTTCTGAGGATATGTTTTTTAAAAAAACAAAATTGGGACAAGTTTATCCGTTGCAATCGAAACCCGAGAGGCTGACAAATGAAAATTTCACCTATGGCAGGAAAAGTTTGAAAACCGACAGTTTATATGAATTGATGCTGCCAAAGAAAACGGCCGGTGAAATTAATAGAGATTTTATTAACTGGCATGATAAATATGTTATATCGCATGGGCATTATTTTCCGGCAGATAGGATTCAAAGAAGGTTAGAATGTGAATTTTTATATCCTTCACCACGCTGTGGGTATATTTTTGTAACATGCTAAAGTTCGTGAAGATCGATTCGAATTTATATATAGGTTAGGGATGTACGGTTGTTAGTAACAAACGCCCATTCGGAGACTATAGTCCATTGTAATCATCCTTTATACCTAAAAAGAGAACGGGAAAAGAAGAGAGAGGAGAAGATAATAAGGGGAGAGCCTAGAGATGGCTATTTTAGCCATGTCAGATTTTTGACAAAGCCTAGGATCTGGTTGAGGTCTATTTCAGGGAAGAAGGCTAGATTATCAATTTCATATCTTTCAAACTGTTTGTGTCTTCGGTCACTCAGCGATGGGCATCTACAGAGGATATGTTCAATTGTTTCTCACGCTTCTTCGTCCTCACATAGACGACAGTAATCACCTCCGTTGGAGTCCCATTTCAAAGTGAGGGATCTAATCTTGTAGTGACCTGTTATGATTCCCACAATGATTTTGATCTCTCTTTTGTTATGTGACAACAGCGAAGAAGTTCTTCGGCGAGAGAATTCAGGCCAGACAGCATATGAGATTCTGCAACCAGGTTCTCTCGATCATCTCTTGCCGACTATCTCGCTGTAGATCAAACGGATTCAGCCAATGAAATAACCAATAGTTGGTTGCACAGATCTCTCAATCGGGAGATTGGTGTTACTATGTCCTGGAACTCAATATAAATTAACTATCCGTCGTATATCATGCAGAGCGGACTTGCAATCAAGAACTGCTTTTGAGTTTATAGTGCACGACTTCAAAGCCTTGAGGGCCGCCTGACTATCGAAATATATAGTCAACGATTCCGTATTATCAGCAGTAAGTGTTTTTACTATCTCGTTCGTTTTCGTGATTGCACGGATTTCTGCTTGAAAAACGCTACAAAGATTGTTAAGTTTATATGAGTTGTATATTTCTAATTCCCTACAGTGAATGCCTGCACCAGTGCCTTCCTTCATCTTTGACCAGTCTGTGAAAAATCTTCAGTCCAGGATTCCCTACTAGGAAAATCTACTCCGATGTCGTTAAATTCTCTATGAGAGGGAACATAGTCACGTATGTGTGTATTTCTCCTCAAGAAATCCGTTTCTCGGAGCCTCAGGGCACATCTGGCCGCCTGGAATTTAATCAAAATGTCCAGTGGTTGGAGATTCAAGATCGGATTCAAGGCTGCCTGTGGTGTACTCCTTAGCGTTCCGCAAGTCAGGATCGAAGCCGAAAGGTTTAGTTATCATAAATCCGATCGCAGTATTGAATTGAATTTTGTCAGCAGTATCTTTTTGTTGACCCCCTGCCACCATACAAGGCAACCATATGTAATAAGTCCGATTTTACTACTTTCCTTAATGGTCTTTATTTGATTTAATTTTTTATTTTATAGTTACAATGAAAATTTCAATCCCAATAAAACCTTTGGTATTTGCAAGAACACCGATACCTCGGGGCGTATGGTCCGGGAATGCATGCAACAGCCGAAAGGCTTTGTTGTCATAAATGGTACCCAAAAGAAATTTAGTGATCGCACTGTAGGCCAATTGGGAAGATCTATAAAAAGGTAAATGGAATAGTACCTATGATGGTATATAGACAGTTTTCCCCATAATCTATATTAAAATAAAAAAAAATTTGTAATAGTATTTGTTGTGTTGAAAATGGTCGTTAGAGTCGACTCTGTTTGTTGAATTATTGAAAATATCTTGCCCGCGTTCTTATGTATACTTATTTATTAAGGAATTCATTTTACACTTTTGATCGTGACCATGGCACAATGAATAGTTAGTCCATTTAGAGCAACTGTCAAAGTGCGTAATTTCTACTCGAATTCGATGTGCAATGTTGCCAACCATGTGAAATATTGTAAGGAAATTTTTGACAGATGGTCGAGACAAAAACAAAGGTTTTTGTTGTGATACCTCACCTTATTATGGCATCATGATCGTGACCATGATGCAATAATAAGGTGATGTATCAAAACAAAAACATTTGTTTTTGTCTCGATTATCTGTCAAATTTTTCCTTATAATATTTAAAAAAGTTGGCAGCATTGCACATCGAATTCAAGTAGAAATTACGCACTTTGACAGTTAATCAAGACATGATCGTGACCATGGCACAATGAATAGCTAGTCCATTTAGCGCAGCTGATGTCTTGATTAACATCACCTTATTATGCATGATGCAATAATAAGGTGATGTATACCAACAAAAACCTTTGTTTTTGTCTCGATTATCTGTCAAAATTTTCCATATAATATTTCAAATCGTTGGCAACACTGCACATCGAATTCAAGTAGAAATTACCCACTTTGACAGTTAATCAAGACATCAGCTGCGCTAAATGGACTACCTATTCATTGTGCCATGATCGTGACTTACAGAATATGAATACTTGAATAGAATGACATTGATTTATAGTGTTGCCACTGTATTGTAATTAATTATAGTTGCCAATATACAATAATTCATAAGCAGGGATCATGATGCAATAATAAGGTGCTGTATCACAGCAAAAAGCTTTGTTTGGGATATAACAGTAGTTATAGTAAGAAAACCACAATTTTCAATTTCATATTTGTAAGCACAGACCTCCATATGTACGGAAACTTCGCATTACCAACAGAGCATGGGTCCCTGTTTGTTATATGTCCGAATACATATTCCAGCTAAATACAACTATTCTCTATTGTTTCTTCAATTTCAGGACCGAACCTATTCTGCAAGTTGCAATTCCGCCTATATCTAAATCCAATAATGACAGTCAAAACATTCGTTCTATATTGGAAAACGCCGAATTTTCCGCCGAAAAAGATACCAACATAGAAGCCATTGGATATGTAAAAAATTTACGACGTAAATTATTCAATCATAAATATTTTCATATTCATGATTTGAAAATTCTGTTGGAAAAGAATGATAAAAATTCCCGCGGATTTTTGGACCTAACAGCAATATTTCAAATTTTAAGATCTTTAAATATTCGTACTGATGAAAAACTATTACATCAAGCTATGGTACATTTGCATATTATTGATGATGCAAATTCAGGAAAGCATAGAGTTAATATAGATTTATTTTGGAAAATGTTGAATTTTCAATATCCCCTGCCAAGCATTAGCTGTGGCAAGTCGGATGTTCCATACGATTTGAGAAATAATAACCCCACTGTATATCAATCATTTTGTCAAGATCGCGAAAAGGATTTGCCTAGATCTATTAGCGAGAAATCACATAAAGACCCTACAACCGCCGGCGATTGTATTTCACCGGATATAGTTGTAAGTTCGGGACTGGATGATAGGGATTTTGAAATCAAGCGTTCCAAAGAAGAACTTCATAAAATATTTGGAAATTTGCTAAAGGAGATTTTTGAAGATTTTTGGAATGCGGCTGTGAACAAATGTGGCGATGAAGATAATACAAAAATTAATGTAAATGATTTTATGGATGTTGTAAAAAATTATTTTGCAAATGAACATTAATTTGATAAAAATTAATAATTTTAATTTTTATATACATATAAAAATTTGTCATTCTGTTTGATGTAGTCTTGCTAGTCAGTGGGAAGTTTCTAACGACCATTTCAGATATTATGGAGGCCGCTCTTTCAACTCTGTCCAACTGGGCACACGCCAAGGGTCTTGGTGTGAACCCCACTAAGAAAGAATTGGTGCTCATCACTAGGAAACGTAAAATTCCAGGGTTCACAGTCATCCAATCTTCCGGTTGAGAGATCTATGCAACCACCCAGTGGATATTCCAGCTAAATACAACAATTCTCTATTGTTTCTTCAATTTCAGGACCGAACCTATTCTGCAAGTTGCAATTCCGCCTATATCTAAATCCAATAATGACAGCCATAACATTCGTTCCATATTGGAAAACGCCGAATTTTCTGCCGAAAAGGTTACCAAAATAGAAGCCATTGGATATGTAAAAAAGTTACGACGTAAATTATTCAATCATAAATATTTTTATATTCATGATTTGAAAATTCTATTGGAAAAGAAGAGTGATAAAAATTCCCATGGATTTTTGGACCTAGCAACAATATTTCACATTTTAAGATCTTTAAATATTCGTACTGATGAAAAACTATTACATCAAGCTATGGTACATTTGCATATTATTGATGATGAAAATTCAGGAAAGCATAGAGTTAATATAGATTTATTTTGGAAAATGTTGAATTTTCAATATCCCCTGCCAAGCATTAGCTGTGGCAAGTCGGATGTTCCATACGATTTGAGAAATAATAACCCCACTGTATATGAATCATTTTGTCAAGATCGCGAAAAGGATTTGCCTAGATCTATTAGCGAGAAATCACATAAAGACCCTACAACCGCAGGCGATTGTATTTCACCGGATATAGTTGTAAGTTCGGGACTGGATGATAGGGATTTTGAAATCAAGCGTTCCAAAGAAGAACTTCATAAAATATTTGGAAATTTGCTAAAGGACAATTTTGAAGATTTTTGGAATGCGGCTGTGAACAAATGTGGCGATGAAGATAATACAAAAATTAATGTAAATGATTTTATGGATGTTGTAAAAAAATATTTTGCAAATGAATATTAATTTGATAAAAATTAATAATTTTAATTTTTATATACATACATATAAAAATTTGTGTTTGATGTAGTCTTGCTAGTCAGTGGGAAGTTTCTAACGACCATTTCAGATATTATTGAGGTCGCTCTTTCAACTCTGTCCAACTGGGCACACGCCAAGGGTCTTGGTGTAAACCCCACTAAGAAAGAATTGGTGCTCAACACTAGGAAACGTAAAATTCCAGGGTTCACAGTCATCCAATCTTCCGGTTGAGAGATCTATGCAACCACCCAGTGGTTATTTCATTGGCAGAATTCGTTTGATCTACGGCGAGGTAGTCGCCAACACATGGTCAAGAGAACCATGTTGCAGAATCTCGAAAGCTGTCTGGCCAGAATTCTCTCGCCGAAGAACTTCTTCGCTGTTGTCACATAACAAGAGAGAGAGATCAAAATCATTGTTGGGATCATAACTGGTCACTGCAGGATTAGATCTCTCACTTCGAAATGGGACTCCAGTGGAGAGGATTACTGTCGTCTATGTGAGGACGAAAAAGAGTTAGATGTCCATCGCTGAGTGACAGAAGACACAAACAGTTTGAAAGATATGAAATTGATAATCTAGCTTTCTTCTCCAAAATAGACCCCAATCAAATCCTAGGCGTTGTCAAAAATCTGGAATGGCTAAAGTAATCATCTTCTAGGCTCTCCAACTATTTCTTCCTCTCTTCCATTCTCTCTTCGTTTCCCTTTTATTTTTAGTTATGAAGGATGATAACAACCGTACGTCCCCAACCTAACCTTGTAACATATATATTCTTGATCAGAATAAAATTCTATGTTGATTAATGCGTGTCCGTCTGCCTGCTGTGGTCGATTGAAATCACGGTAGAGATCGCAATTTTTGATATAGAGCTTTGAATTTTTATTTCTCTGAGATTGTTGGTATTGCAAATGGTATATATCGGTCCCACCTTTTCGATATAACGACAGACTCAAAATATTTGGTATTAGGGGAGATTTTTGACACTTTTGTACAGGATGAACATTAAAATTGTCATTCCTCGAAATATAGCGATAGGGATCGCAATATTTAAGATAAAGCTCTGAAATTCTGCACAGACATTGCTGGTACTCCTAGGATATTTAGTATTGCAAATGGGATATATCGGTCCACGTTTTGGTATAGCCCCCATCAGGGACGTACGCAGGGAGGGGGCCCTGGTTATCAGATTTCGATATATGGGAACTATATCGAAATCTGAACCGATTTTCAGAAAATTTAACACACATCGTTCTAAACTTAATTCAGTACGTTATGCAAAATTTAGTGCATATATGGGAGCTATATCTAAATCTGAATCGATTTTCACGAAACTTACCACACATCGTTTTAGAGTCAATTCATTGGATTATGCGAAATTTCGTACAAATCAAAAGATAAGCAGGGATTTTGGTGCACCATTTACATTAAATCGGTCGAAAATATATGTGGGAGCTATATCTAAATCTAAACCGATTTTCAGAAAACTTCGCAAATATCATTCTATAGTCAATTCATTGCGCTATGCCAATTTTCGTGTAAATCGAAAGAAATATAAAAAATCGGACGAAAATATATATGGGTGCTACATCTAAATCTGGATCGATTTTCATGAAACTTACGACACATCATGCTAGACTCAATTCAGTATGCTATACCAAATTTCGTGCAAATCTAATTATATATAGGGATTTTGGCGCACCATTTACATTAAATCGGACGAAAATATATATGGGAGCTATATCTAAATCTGAAACGATTTTCACCATTTCCCTTAATCAGACGAATATAATATATGAGAGCTATATCTAAATCTGTACCGATTTTTCCCAATTTCAATAGGGTTCGTCCTAGGGCCAAATGCGAGCTGTACTTTGTTTACAATTTAACATGGACAGACGGACATGCATAAATCGACATAGAAAGTGGTTCTATGAATACTCTCAATAGTAACCATGTATCTATCTTCTCGTTAGCAGATCTTGCAATTTTTGTCAATGTAATGGCCAATAGATGGTCTAAGAGTTTCCTCAATCTAGAAAGAAAGATGTACATGGAGAAGAATGATACAATTAAAAGTGGAGAAACAAAAGTCTTTCCGCGTTAATGATTTCCTGGACAACTTCTTCTTAGACGATTGGCCTATTTTAGACGTGATTTTTATATGTATTTTTTCCTTTATTAAAATCTAATAGTTTGTACAAAACATTTGCACATATAGTTCGTATTTATATACTATATATTATAAAGATATATGTATGAATATTTTACAACAAAAAAAGTAAAAAAAAAATGATAACTTTATAACTATGATCCTTATAACTTATCCACGTTCCTTTGAAGTATTTCGTAATTTCGAACGTGAATATTCACGTTCACGTTTTTCATTCCGATCTCGGCTTCGGCTACGATCCTCATCTTTGCGATAACGACGACGATCTGAATCTCTATCCCTATCCCGCTCACGATCTTTTCTTTCGCTACGTCCATTTGTATCACGACGATCACGATCCTCGCCTCTACGTCCTCCACCTCCTCCTCGTCCACTCCCTCTCGATCTTGATCTGGAACGTGAGGGAATTCGTTCACGATGTCGTTTTTCGCGCTCTTCTCGGCGCCTTTCGATTTCACTATTCCGACGTTGAGGAATTTCACGTTTCTCACGATAATCGTTTCTACGTTCCCTGCCACCATTCTGCTTTGAGGAATATTCTTCTTCTGCCTCCACGTTTCTTTGTTTGTTTTTGGGAATATCATTTTCGTAGTCTTCTCTTTTTTTACGTTTAATATCGCGTTCATTTTCAATATCTTCCGAGTCAGATCTTTTGGATTTTTTGTTAGTCTTATCTCTTGATTTGGATTTTGTGTCGTTCTTCTTCTTTTGTTTCTTGCGTTTTCCATCATCACTTTGTTCGGAATCGGATGAACTAGCTGAGGATTTGGATTCAGAGCTACTGCTTTCGCTTTTCGACGACTGGTCACTCTCGTCGGAAGAAGAATTGTTTTTCTTGGATTTCCTTTTCTTTGTCTTTTTCTTCTTGGAGTCTTTTTTACTTTTGGATTTTTCGCTTTTCTTCTTCTTTTTATTTGAGGATTTCTTCTTTTTGGATTTCCGAGTTTTACCTTTACGTTTTTTCTTATCCGTTTCCGAATCATCACTTGAAGAATCCGAATCCGATGAGGAATCACTAGAGCTTGAGGAGGAGGATGACGATGAAGAAGATTCCGAAGCTGAGGAACTAGACGACGATGTGGATGTTGAAGATGAAGAATTTGAAACATTTACTGGCTTATTGGCTAAAATTTCAGCATTAATGGCGGGCACAGACTTTGGAGCATTCTTAAGAAATTGTCGCAGCTCATCGGTGAGACCGCCCAAACCAATTGAGGTAAAGAAATTAATGGAAAATCGTGTATTCCTGGGATTATCCTTGGGAAATAGTCCCGTCAAACTTTCAGCCAAAACTTCATCTTTAAGTTTTTTATTGAGCTGGCCAAGGCCCATATATTCCGCCAATTCTTGGAATAGAATTTTTATAAAAATACGACTCGACGAAGTTGTATCATCCTCATTGAGTCGAATACAATCGAGGACATCCCAACTAATGGCATCGGTAAATAGTAAATGGGCAAAGAATTTGCTGACATTCCTCAGACGATTTGTGTCCAAACGATGTGTTGTCTGATAGGTGTCCTTGAAGATCTCCTCAAATGGTTCTATATAGGATTTATTGATATTGCAAAATCTTTGTGCCAGCAGGCCATAGAATTTCTCATAGGTTCGCTGTTCTGCACAACAGTCTAAAAACATGTGGCAGAGTTCAATTTCTTGTCCTGGTTTCAATTGCATTTTCATTAGTTTATGGGCACACTCCTCATAATCCAAACTGGAATTAATGGTCAAGTAGATGGTTCTTCTCAAAGCAATCAAATTGGTTTCGGTATTATCAATAATATCGCCAGCTGTGGGTTTATCTTCGCCCTCATTTTTGTCATCATCCGAATCGGAAGATTCAGAATCGGAATCACTGCCGGAACCTGAGGATTCATCAGAGTCTGAGGCATCACTGCCCAAAATCTCTTTACTCAGTCCCTTATATTTCTCTTCATTGGCCTCATACTGGTCATCGAATTTAAATGCATCTGAAAAGAAAGGGAAATAGATTTCAAATTAGAAGAAATAATTGGAAATATATTGTATTCAAACTTACTCAGTACATCCTCGGGTGAGGTGGCATCATCCAACATTAGTAAATGGGTAAATTGATCATCTTCTTCCACCAATTCGAGCGACTCAATTACCGACTGATGATCTTTAAAGCCATCCTTGCGTACTTGAAATACCACTTCAATCATATACTGGACCCGCTTATCCAACTTGCCTTCATGCAGGATATTCTTGAGCATTTCAAAGATTGCTCCAATACCCTTGGAGGACACCTCCGTCAATTTCATACCACATTCTTTGAGAAAAGCTATGGCCACTTCAACACTATCATCTGTGGGAGATTCCACGAGTAGTGTTAATATTTCCAAAGCTAAAATTTCGTGGGCCACTCGTTGATTTACCAAATGAGCAATGAAACGCGATGAGGATAAACACACGGTTTTATCGTTACGACGAAAAGCCCTCTTAAATTGTATAACCAAACGTTTCAGTAGCAGCTCTCCAATATTGGGGAATTTCGAATTTATAATGGCAACCAAAGCGGCATAGACATGGGTAAAGGTTGGCGATGCAGCTTGAGCCTGAATTATGGAACGACACAGTAAACCTCTTCCGCGCACGATATTCTCCTTGAGCAGTTCCCGCGTAATAATGGCAATATTATCAACATTCACTTTGTTGATGTAACCATGTATGGATTTCTTAAGAGCTTCCCAGGCTATACGCTGATAGGCAGCCGAGGCTTTGTCTGTTATTTCTGCCTGCATCATACGCAATTTGGCTGGCGGAATATAAGCACCACCGGTACGTGAGGTTAATATGTCGACGGTTTTCCTTTGACGTTCCGTAATCTTGGCCTTGGGATCAGTAACTGTGGCATTGTCGTTCTCTTTATCTTTTTCCATTTCTGCAGATACTTTATTATCACCACTCCTGGCGCCTGATGACTTGGAGGACTCATCATCATCACGTCGGGAACGTTTCGATTTTTCCCTTTCATCCCGTTCAGCATGGCGTCGCTTTCGTTCTTCCCGCCTTCTTTCAATGGACTCGGAACGACGTGAACGTCGCCGGGACTCATAATCTGAGGAGGGTGAACGACGTCGTTCATGTCTTCTTTCACGGGAGCGGGAACGTCTTGGTGATCGAGAACGTTGTTTACGTTCGGGTCTTCGGGAACGACTGCGACTTCGGCTAGTTCTTGATTTAGGATTGCGTTTTAATTGATCTTCATCACCTTTGGAGGGGCTTCGTTTGTCTCGACTATCCCTGGAGTAGCTTCTTCTGTTCCTCGATGAACTACGTCTAGATCTCGAGGTACTTCTTTTATCTTGGGAGAGACTTCTTTTCGCTCTTGATGGACTTTTAGATCTTGAACGACTTTTGTTACCACCTGATGGACTTCTTTTTGCTCTAGTCGAACTTCTATCATCCTTTGAGGGACTTCTTTTATCTCTTGAAGGGGTCATTTTAGATCTAGATTGACTCCTATCATCTCTTGATGATTTTCTTTTGGATTTTGATGGACTTCTAGATTTTGAACGACTTCTTTTATCTCTTGAGGGACTTCTTTTGTCAACCGAATGGCTTTTACTGTCCCTTGAAGCACTACGTCTTTCCTTAGAACGGCTTCTATTATTATTAGAGTGAGATCGTGGTGGTGAAGATGCCGTTTCTTTAGTCTCTGTTATTTCACCTTCCTCGGCATCATTTGGATCAGGAACTTCATCTTGACTCGGTTTTGTTACTTCCTCCACTTTGTCATCATCTAAAGGCTTCTTATCATTCTCCTTTACCTTGGGACTATCATTCTTGGAAATATCTGTTGCAGTTTTCTCCTCCTCTTTATCCTTATTCTCCTCTACACTTTTCACAACATCTTTTTCCTCCTTCCGCTCTCCTTTTTCCTTTGATTTGCTCACCTTCTTCCCTTTACCCTTTTCACTGCCCGATGAAGAGGAATCTGAACTTGAAGACACTTCTCCATCACTGGAACTACTCGACGAATCTGAGGAGTCAGAATCCGATGACGACGAAGAAGATTCTGAACTAGATTCTTGTTTCTTTCTACGCGATTTCTTTTCATCCTTCGATGAAGATGATTTTTCCCTACTCCGGCGTCCATCAGTGTCGGCTTTCATTTTTTCCTTTTTATTGTTGTTGTCTGATTTTGTATTTGTGTCTACCACATTTTCTTCCGCGGCGCCACTTTTATTTTCATCACGCGACTCGTTATTTGTATCCTCCGACGAGTTTGATGATGTGGAGGTATTATTCTCAGATTGACTACCAGTCATGGTAAATGCAGCAGAACTTTTTCGACGTGTTTTTTTTTATTTTTTCAATAATTCATAAAACGTTTAACAATCAAGAAAATATCTCCGCCAACAGAACATATGCCAAATGAAAAAAATAGCTTGACATTTCATGTCGGGGTTGCCATATTTACATTTGTATCATGCAATTCATGAAACGACTGAATGACGCGTAAGATTATGAGATGAAAGCGTAAGTCGTATAGACTTTTTAACTAGTGACAACAATTAACAAAATGGCGGAACTTTGATTTTTTTTTTTGAAAAATCACCTATTTTTGACCACAAACTAAGTTTAAAAATAAGGAAGATCTTCACCGATTGGCTTTATCCTAGTTCATACACTCGCAGAGAAACGTCCCAAAATTTGAAATCAATTGGGTTATTAGTTTTTGAGTTATCGTGCCCGCCATTCGCAAAAACGCTGTATGGAGAAAAACGCGTTTAAAGTTTGAGAAGCCCTCTTGCTGTCACCTGATGCTAACACAATAAATCGGCTATTTCTTCAAAAATTGTTGAGATTTTCACTTGAAAATTTATAGGGACATTCTTGAATTAGTGTAGGTTCAAATTAAATCAAAATAAAAAATTAAATTTTTTGAAACCGAGAATGGGTAGGGTCCCCTTAAAAAGTGTATACTTCTTATGACCCAGCCTCCCAAGAATTCCAATGGAAACTATGGGTTCCGGATTCACTCACGCATGTCCTAATGGAACAAACGCCTGACAGAGCTACATGTGCCCACGGTGATATCTCTAAAACTTTATATCGGCTAAGGAAGAAATATTATTGATATATATTATTATTGAAATATATTCAAGTTTAATTGAAATGAAAATGATGTTTTTAACACGTTTGTCTGGAAGTAATTACATTGTTATGGATGAAACAAACATTTTATGGTATTCCCTACTGGATTTTGGGAAGAAATCATAACTTTTCATTCACTTTTTTGCGTTTTTAGTTTTGTGTTGAAAAAATGCCAAATAAACACAAACAATTGCTGCGTATATTTATTTTATTTTTGGCAGAAGAAGCCACATGTGCATAGTTGCTTTTTTGTTATTCACCTCAAGCTGCCCTACCTTGTATTATTGTACCATGTGGCTTCCCAGGTGCGACAATATGTTTCAAAGTGTACCGTTTGTAAGGAAACCAAGCCGACAATCCTGAAATTGGCAACGAAGTAGTAACTCAACGACCATTTAAACAAATTTCTCGTTAAGATTTTCTCGGTAAATATCCACGGTCCAAAAGTGGCAACGCTCTTATATTTATTGTCGTTGATCACTTAAGTAAATTTACATTTTTGAAAACCACATATCTAAAACATTTAAAGAAATGATCAAAATCTATGGAATCAATCATCTTCAAATAGCACCCTATGACCCGCAATCGAATGCATCGGAACGGATAAACAAACATGATCTTGCTGCCATAAGAGCCTATCTATATAGTGAAGAAGATGTACCGCAGAGCGGTTAACAAATGCAAACGATTCATCGGACAGAAAGCGAATCCATCACGGATAAGGAGTTCATTTTCATCAAGAAGAACCTAAAATTCGGAGGGTAAGAGACTGTCGAAGTCAGCCCGACGGAAATCCAGTAAAAAAGCCTCCAAGAAGGCTGATGGGAAGGTAGTAGACTAGCAGCCGTAGCGGTCTAAGAGATACCAAGCGGAACGTTAACCTCAGTGTGGATCCCACCACCTTTTAAGGGACTAGAGAACACACTACGGTTAGTGAAAAGTGAGGAGGTGGAGAATCCTCGCCTCATTTGAAAGAACGGCGGTGTAGTCGCAAAGTTCGTTACCTACTCTGCTGGTGAGCAGTATTTTATGAAGAACAAGGAGGAGTTGTTTTACGGGAAGGGGGAACTCCATTTCCGTCTCCCGCCATTAAAACAATAAAAGCAGACAGCAGCAAGCGCTAAATGTGGTGCAGATTAATCTGAATCATTGTAGAGCAGCAGCTGCTGAACTGCTTCCCATCTTCTTTTTCTCGTATACCGACATCGCGCTCATCCAGGAACCGTATCTCTACAAATATAAGGTGACTGGTTTGAGTGATAAAAAATACACGGTTTTGACCGCCTCAGCGGGGGAGAAGGTAAGAACGAAAAGAACTTAAGAACAAAAAAACTTAATGCTTCTTTCTCAAGTCAGTGTTTAATTCCAACCGCCAACAATAAAGTCGATACCTAAAAAAATAGGATTGATAAACTAGTTTTAAAATTTAGTTGACTTGATTTAGCGGGTTGAGATCCCATAGCTGGAAAAGAAGCCGAGAGCTATAGGTAACACATTGTATCCCGATCAAAAATGTGTGCAAATAAGTACGAAAACATACCTGCTGGAGCCCGATCATTTAGAAACTTCTATGACAAACACTAGCCCACGCGGTGCTATCCAGTGAACGGAGTCAAGACCCAAATATTAAATGTTCCCGTAGAGAGTAGCTTCCACCATTTTACCTTATCCGCATCTCTTAGATAAAACCCCAAACATTAAATATACTTCTAGAGAATATGCAATTTTCTTTTGAAAATTAATAAAAAACAATTTAAAATGTTTGGATTTTTTAATTAGAATATATTTATAATTATTTTTATTATATAATAATTTTCATTAACAGAAAAGAAAACAATACTTAGCAATTACAGAGTTTGTTGGTTGATTTTTGTTTGTTTTTGTTATTATTTTAATGCATAAATTATACATAATGTATAATGAATAAGAAAACGACGTAAAGAAAAGAAAAAAAAATGATTAAAAAAAAATAACAACTACTACGTTTTTTTAAAAACAAAACTTAAATTAATGTCAATCTAAGCATCTTTTTGAGATGGTTTTGTGGGTCTAGTTTCGGGTCGTTTTGGTGTAACATCATCGTCGCTGCTCGACGAAGACGACGAAGAAGATTGACCCTTGGCATTGGCCTTCTTATCGGGTATGGTGTAGGGGAATTCTTTGTTTTCGGCTTCCAGAGCAGATTTCAGACGCAGCAATGCGGTACGATTGATGTGTTCTAAACATACATCTTTAATGGCGGTCTTGAGAGTTTCCAAAGCTTTGCCTGAATTACCCTTGGCCGTTTGTATGTCAATTAAACAGGAATAGGCGTTGCCAATGGCACCTTCGGATATTTTCGATTCACGCAACTGACTGATGACACTTTCGGCCAATTTGTCGTCGTTTTGATCGCGAGCCGTTTGCAGCACACGTTGGAACATTAGGCGTGGGGCACTGGAGAGATATTTTTCCCAAATGCTTTTTGAGACGGCCTCATTGCCCTTGGAAATGTGATGAATCCATAAGACATTCATGGGACCCAATTGATTGTGTTTGGCATAGTCTTCGGCGAGTTTTTGGACTGGGGAAGAGAAAATCGAAGATATGTAAAATAAAATATATAATGGTTTTGTCTTGGAAACTTACATTGATCCACCAATTCGGGATGCTTGTCCAAAATACCCAAAGCTCCACCGCGTGGGAATGTCTCAGCCAATTTGGCAACTTCTTGTGGGGTTTTGGTGGCAGCCAAATCATCACTCAATTTCTTGAAATATTGTTCACCCTTGCCGGCCACAATATTGGCGTGGCAGTAACGATTGTCAAAGGAAATAATGCGCTTTTGTTCCTCGTTAAGCTGTTGACCAATAATTTGCATGGTCTCCAAATCACCACTGTTGGCAATGCGATTCAAATAGAATTTAAACACTTTGGGCAAGGGATAGAGTTTGGAGGCCAACATTTCATTGACATATTTGGTGGCTTCACTGAGACGATCAGCCCGCACCAACAATTCAATCAAATGTGAGTTGTCCATTAGCGAGGGTTGTTCATTGGGTTTCAATTGATTTTTGGCTTCAAGGGCAGCTTCCAAATCGTTGTTTTTCAATGCCTTGCGTAGCAAAGAGATGTTGGAGGGAGTTTTGTTTTCCACGGCTTTAGCAGGAGTGGCTGTTGATTTCTTCGACAACTTTTCTGCAGCGGGTTTCTTTACAGATTCCTCAGCGGCCTTGGCCACAGCGGCTATTTTCGATTTACGTATCTGTTGTTTAGTTTCAACGATAAATGGTACTGGGATATTCTTGGATTCCAACAATTCAGCCAATTTAACCAAGAACTCATCATTGGGTGTAATATTTTCTTCTTGCATTTTGGTCCATAGGCCCAAAGCTTTGTCGGTATCCTCGGTCTTGCAATAGCTTTGCAAGAGGCTGAAGTAGATCTTGTTGCGATCAATGTGATTTAGATCACGTGTGGCCTCAATCAAACCTTCCAATGGCTCTACCATTCCCTCGTTCTTATAACGTTCACAGGCGGTATCAATGCGATGGGGTCTGGTACGCAAGCCAGGAGTTTCCAAAATCTTACGGGCCTGTCTTACACGGCCACATTCCACAAAAGAGAACACCAAATCATAAAGGCTGTTAATTTCGCCGTGAATGTTGGTGCTAAGATCGGTGAGCTTTTGCAAATTGTTCGCGTCCTCGGCTTGAATCAGACGACGAGCCAGCTCATTTTTCCATGGTGTCGATTTGTATTCTTGGCAGATTTTCTCAAATGCCTCCATTGCCTTGGGAATGTTATCGTTGACCAGGTGGACCTAATTTCCAAAAGAAATCAAAAATATTTCATTTGTTTTCAAATTAATTGAATTTTCCACTTCTCACTCACCTTAATCAATGGACCCAAAATAACGTTGGTGGGCAGTATGAAGTTACCCTTGACAAAGGCATCAAACATTTTTTGCAATTTGTCTACGTTGCCAGTCTCAGCCAACCCATTCAAAATACGCCATACCTTGGAGGCATTGTTGTAATTGTTTTCACTTTCGGCCACCGATTGAGGTTTCTTATTCTCCTCTAGGAATTTCAAGGCATCATCAAAACGTTCCTCTTTGAGTAGAACTTCAACAATGCCCACCGTTTTGGTGGTATCCAAGCGGAATTCTGGTTCTTTGGCTTTAATTTTATTGTATGTTGCAATGGCATCTGAGACACGTTCATGATAGGTATACAAATCAATTAGCTGGGCATGGACACCCGATCCCATGCTATAGTTTTCCTTTTCCAAACGTTCAACAACTTCCAAGGTTTTTTCCAACTTTTTGCTACGGAAACAGGCATTTAGCAGATGGCGTTTAATGTGATTTGTATTCTCGCCCTTGGCTTCCAAATTGGCAATGAAACGTTCAAGTTCTAAAGGAAGAGATTAAAATAAAAATTAGAATCCCTCACGAAACTATTTGTGAGCTACTTACCCTCCACAGTCAATGATTCCAAACCCCTCTTTTTGGGTGCATTCTTCAGGGGTACCAATTCCAATTCACCCGAAGATAATTTACCCAAATTTTCAGAAATACTGGGGGTCATATCGGAGCCCAATTTATCCGATAATTTCTCGGCATTTTGATTGCTGATGGTAAAGCCATGTTGCACCAATTTGGGCAGCAAACGTTCCAATACCTTAACACGTTCTGTACGGAAATATGAGGCAACATCCACCACCAAATCGCCAACAACATCAACACCTCCCTTATTATTGGTGGGCAAATCTAATTCCTCAGTTTCTGCCTCCTCATTAGCTTGTTCGGACTTTGTGGCGGAAGGAGTGGTAGTAGCAGCATTGGTGGTAGTCTTCTTTTGAGCACTTTCATACAGCTGGCGGGCACATTGTACAAATGCATCATAGTTTTGTACCTTGCCAAAAGCTTGAATCAATGGCTGGCGGAAAGTTTGCAGATTATAAATGGCACTGTAGTTTTCCATAATGGTGGCGGCCTCCTTAATTTGATGATTGTTGAGGGCAGCACAGCAAGTGGCGGCAGCAGCGGTGCCATTGGAAACACCAACATCACGCAACAAAGTTATGATTTTATCGGAATTCTTTTCCTTGAGGTTGGGGATAACATAATCACGTATGGTCTCAGCGGATGGGGTCATATTGAACTCCTCTTGCATTTTACGTAAAATGCCAACAATTTGATTTGGTTCCACAGAGCAAATCAAGGGCCAGAAATAATGTTGTCTTACGGGGATGCCGGCATTTTTCATTTCCGTTAACAAAGGCAGGGTGCTGTTCACCAAACCCTGGGTTAGGCCAGCCTCAGTGGCCACCAACAAAGCCTTGGAATTTAAACCTGAAAAATAAAACAAAAACAAATTAATTTCCATACCCAAAATAATGCCCCAAAAAACACTTACCCTCATCCTGCAAAGTTTTACAAATAGCCAATATCTTCTCCACTGGCCGATTGGCCTTAACCAATTGGCGTATAAAGAATGTACCCACATCAACGGGTTGACCATCTGGGCGATTACCACGTGGCATAATACGCAACAACTTAAGGCAAACATCTTCATAGCCGCTATTGGTTAGACGCAAAATAATGTTGGCACAATCTTGATTGAAACCAGCCGAACGATGGAATTTGGTCAAAAGACTATCCACCTTATCACCATGACCATTAATGGCAAGATTATAGATAATATCTAAAATATCCTTGTCCAACAGGAGAATTTCATTCTTTTCGCATTCGGCCAAGGTGTTATTGATGCTATCCATATCACCATGTTTGGCATAACAGCACAACAGAGTGGTATAGGTATCAGCGCTGGCTTCCAAACCGGCCTGTTTCATAACGGACAAAATACCTTTGGCGGATTCCATGTCACCAGCCTGTATGGGAAAAAATAATAGAAATTTACTTGTAATTTTTAAAACTTTAAAATGTACGGTTGTGGTTCGAATACTCCATGAAATATATACCCAAAATTCGAGTTTATTAATAAAAAATCCTAAAAGAATACTAAGGAAATCCCACGCTTGTGGGTCCTGGGGGAAATACGAATGATACCTTCAAAATGACCGAAAATGAGGCGGAATCTTTATATGGAGGTTCCGTACAAATACAAACCTATATGTGAATATATTTTATCATTTGTCAAAATATGGACCTACATTGAAAATCTTCTGGAAAGATGTTTTCGCCCTACGGGAATCCGAAATACAATGGAGAAATTCGGTTAAAATGTTTAAAATGCCGAAAAAGGGAGTTAGGTAAAAGCATGGACCCATAACAAAAATTGTTCACAAATTTATTTTCAAACGTGCCTAAATTCCAAAAATAAAGAAAAATTGGTGTAGCTAGAAAATGGGACAGGTATGGATGGACCCATAACAAAAATGTTGACTAATATATTTTCACCCACTAAGAGCCTGGTATGCCAGATAACAGCCACTTTGCGGTGAAAATACGGCTACAAACCTTAAAATATCGAATATGAGTCGGAACATTTATATGGGGGCTATATACAAATATGGACCTATATTGAATATTTTTGTGGAGAGGTTTTGATATTCCTCACCGAAAATATATTTAAAAAATCCACGCCTCTAGGTTTTGATATTCTTCACCAAACATATGCCCGCAATCGAATCTTTCAACTCTGATATTCCATGAAAATTATTTTTCTATTCCTAGCTCCAATATCCCTTTAAAATATTTTTTTAATCTCAAATAAATTCATAATTAACAATCAATAAAATCTCCCTCTTACCTGTGAGTGTCCCAAAATCAATGAATTGAATACGGCCTCGTTAACGGGCAAATTCTTTGCTCGCATATATTCCAAAATCCTTGTGGCTCCATCAATATCACCTTGCTGACAGTAGCGAGCAATCAAACGTTGATATGTCACCCGATTCGGTTCAATTGACTTTGATTCGATTTCAGCCAGAAAATCGGCCGGTGAAAATTGATGTTCATTTTCCAAATAGACACGCAACAAAGCATTGTAATGTGATATGTCCATGGGTACATTTAGAGCATTTAACGTTTTCCATATTTCCTGCACCAATGCTGTGCGTACTTCGGGTAATTCTTCTGGGACCAAATTACCACAACATCTAATTACCAACAGTGATTGAGAGCTGGTAGCGGAACGTTGTGTGCGTATCTCTTCGAGAACATCTTCAATGTCTCGGCGTGATATACGACCCATACGACGGACATCTTTATCCAAACGTTTGATTTGTTTGTCCAGGCTGAGATCAGCTTTGGGTGCTGCTGCGGGACCATTGGCGAAGCCACTAGAAAAAACAAATACAAAAACAAACATTATTTTGTGTTTTTTCTTTCACATTGAGGTTATGTCATTGGATTATACACCACAGATCTCAGCTATATGGTTACACTGAAAAATCTTGAAATTTCTATTCAATTCTTGAAATTTATCTATAAAACTTCGAGCCTTTTTGTAACATCTCCAAATTTGCATTCAATATTACACCAGCTTATTTCAAAATTTATTTATTCTATTGCGTAAGCTCTATGCCGGGAGTCTGTTCTGGTGTATACTTACTTTTGGAATTGTGTGCACATGCATGTGGTATTCTGAAGCAGAGAGCTGCTATCCGGCTCCCGTACAGTATTCACGACAACATTTCGCGTAAAACCAGCAAAATACCGTAGAAATTTACCGGTTCTCAATATTGAGGCCATGTTTTTCGTTTAAATGATTTTTGTAATACTTTGTAACTGGCGATGTGAAATACCTCAGACCCCAAAAACACGGCACGTTTGACGTTCGTTTCTGACTGAAAAATCGAAAACAAGTGAGGAGCTGTCAAAACCGTATGTTTTCTGTGCATGGCGAGCAGAGATGGATGTTGTGAGAAACATATGTATTTGGCAAACATATGGTGCTTACGTGCAGTCGTAGTTAGTGGAAACGTAACGTAGAGGAATTTCACAGCTGAAAGCAATTTTTTTACAAAATTTTCTATATTTTTGTCGAGGCATATCAAAACCTGAAGGCGTGGATTTTTTAAAACCGATATTATTGCCTAAAAGAAAATGCGATGGAAAGTGACAGGCGTAAGTAAATCAGACGATTATGCACTGTATTATAACTGCCATGAAGCGAGAAATGAATTTGGCTGCGGAATAAAAGACCTTGTTTCCAGATTCACTCCAGTAGATGAGCGAATTGCTATAATGCATATAAATGCGAAGTTCTTCTAAATTCAGTCATATTTGCGCATATGCTCTGACAGAAGACAAAGATGAGTAGACCAAAGGCACATTTTACGAGCGCACAGAAGCAGCATATGGCCGCTTCCCTGACCATTACATTCAAATTCTGTTAGGAGATTTTAATGCAAAAATCGGAAGGAAGAGCTGTATTCTTCTTCCTATAGGAGAGCTGCAGGAAATTTTCTTCCATAGGAGAGCTGGAGATCTTCTTCTTCCTATAGGAGAACTGTAGGTATTATTCTTCCTGTGGAAGTGCTGGAGGTATTCTTTTTCCTGTGGAAGTGATGGAGGTATTCTTCTTCCTATGGAAGAGCGGCAGCTATTATTTTTCTTATAGAAGATCTGGAGGTATTATTTGTCCTGTGGAAGAGCTGCAGGTATTTTTCTTCGCACACACTCTTCTTCCTGTGGATGAGCTGCATGTATTCTTCCTTTGAAAGAGCTGGAGGTATTCTTCTTCCTACAGAAGAGCTGGAAGCGTTCTCCTTCATGTGGAAAAGCTGCAGGCATTCTTCTTCCTGTGGAAGTTCTGGAGGTATTCGTCTTCCTGTGGAAGAGCTGTAGGTAGTCTTCATCCTATGGAAGAGCTGCAGCTATTCTTCTTTCTATAGAAAATCATGAGGTATTCTTTGTCCTGTGAAAGAGCTGCAAGTATTCTTCTTCCTACGGAAGAGCTGGAGGTATTATTTTTTGTAGAAGCGCTGCAGATACTCTTCTTCTTTTGAAAGAGCTGGAGATATTTTTCTTCCTTTGAATGAACTGGAGATATTCTTCTTCCTTTGAAAGAGCTGGAGGTATTCTTCTTCCTTTGAAAGAGCTGGAGGTATTCTTCCTATGCAAGACCTGGAGGTATTCTTCTTCCTACAGAAGAGCTGGAGGCGTTCTTCTTCCTGTGGAATAGCTGCAGGTATTCTTCTTCCTATGGAAGAGCTGAAGGTATTCTTCATCTGATGGAAGAGCTGAAGGAATTATTCTTCCAAAAATATTTTGTCCCACCGTCGGAAAATTCGGCCTCCATAAAGAAACATCAGACAACGGCATGAGGTTAATTGACTTCGCGGCAGCAAAAAAGTGGTAGTTAGCAACACCAGATTCAAGCATCTCGATATACACAAGGCCACCTGGATTTCTCCCGATCGAACAACGAGAAATCAAATCGATCATGTTGTGATAGATGGAAGGCATTCATACAGTGTTTTCGACGTTCGATCGATATGAGGAGCAAATATCGATTCGGACCACTACATTGTAGCAGCCATGGTTCGCATTCGTCTTAATGTAGCAGCAAAGGTGCGCGGAAACTCGACGTGTCCTGTGGAAGAGCTGCAAGCATTCTTCTTCCTACGGAAGACGTTCGATCGATATGAGGAGCGAATATCGATTCGGACCACTACATTGTAGCAGCCATGGTTCGCACTCGTCTTAATGTAGCAGCAAAGGTGCGCGGAAACTCGACGTCGAAAGCTGCAAACACAGAAGCCTACTCCGTTCATCTTACCCAACTGTTTGACGAAAGCACTTCTTGTCCAGATAATAGTATAGAAGCACAATGGGAAAGAATTGCCCACTCCCTACAAATTGCAGCAAAAGCAACACTTGGGTGCCAAAAAACCACCACCAAGAAACGATCAGGAGTGTCGTAATGTTACGCAGCGTAATGTGTTGGAGAATTATAGGGAAAAAAGGAGAGAAGTATTTTCAGAAAAAAGAAGAACGAACTAGAAAAACGTGAGAGCAAGCAAATCGAGATGTGTAGGAGTAAGAATGAAGTCCGGAAATTTTACCAACGAGTAAAACACCAAACCGAAGGCTTTGGTGCATCCTCCTGTAGAGATGAAGAAAGAAACCTGGTGACAGATACAGATATGACGGTATAAAGTGTATACCACCTAGTCAAGATGATGTCAGAGTAGTAATTAATCAGTTGAAGAACAATAAAGCAGTAGGTGCCGATGGGTTACCAGCCGAACTATTCAAGACTGGTGGTCAGGAGCATGCACCAGCTGATTAGTATAATTTGGATAGAGGAATGCATGCCCAATGATTGGAACCTCAGCATCCTGTGTCCCGTGCACAAAAAAGGAGACGATATGTGCCAACTATAGAGGAATTAGCCTTCTTCCTATCGCATATAAAGTGTCTGCTGTGTGAACGACTGAAGTCAATGGTCAATGACATTATTGGACAATACCAATGCGGCTTCAGACCTGGCAAATCTACCATTGACCAGATTTTCACTATGTGTCAAATTCTGGAAAAGACTCACGAAAAACACATCGACACATTTCACCCATTCGTCGGCTATAAAGCCGCATTAAATAACCTTATCCGCTCAGAGGTGTTTAAATCATGTCTGCGTTCGACCTTCCTGCAAAATGAATACGACTATACAGGATAACTTTAAATGACACAAGATCAGTAGTTAAAGTAGGAAAGGACTTATCGGAGCCCTTCAATACCGATCGAGGATTCAGACAAAGTGACATTTTGTCGTATGATCTTTTTAACATCCTGCTAGAAAAGTTCATACGAGGTGCAAATGTGAACAGAAATCACACTCTGTACACCAAACAACTCATTTTACTCGCCTACGTCGCGACGTCGACGCGTCGATGACATCGATATAATGGGTCGAACATTGCGAGCGGTAACAGCCAACATTGAACAAATTGAGAAGGAGTATGGCGAAGCGGGTCTGAATGTAAATGACAAGAAGACCAAGCTTATGGTATCAACGCGAAAGACGCCCAGTAGACTCGGACTAACTGTCAAACTTGAAAACTACAGCATAGAGGTAGTCAAAGATTTTATATACCTTGGTACCGCGATAAATAAAACTAATTGCATCACCTTTGAAATTCGGAGAAGGATAGTGTTTGCCAACCGATGTTAATATGGTCTAAGTGAGCAGTTTAGAAACAAGGCCACATCCCGCTAGACCAATTTCACCCTCTACAAGACGCTGATACAACCCGTGCTGTTATCTGGACCTCAAGCATGGGTACTTGCGCAAGCCAACAGTTTGGAACATGGTATTTCAAATTGGAAGTGCTGCGCGCAAGTTCGGCATATGGAACAAATGTTCTGTCACAAGCCAGCTAAGTAAAATCATAACGAAATAAAAAAAATAAATCTTTTATATATATCACGTTTACATTCTTCCCCTGAAAATTGTCTTCAAAAATTCTGTCTGTATGACCGAAAATGTTTATTTCGAGCTTCTGCAGAATCCTCCGACAATTGGCCCATGTAATAGTAATTTATGGATTGTTGGAGTCATGGGTTGCCAGGCGTATAATTCCACATACATTCTGCGCGGAGTTCAAGGCATACAATTTTATTGTATTTATTTTGTGTCCACTTGAAATCGCCTCTCATAAAATTTTATATCTAATTCCTCTAATTCTGTCTTTTCAAAAAATCTCCTAATCGCATTGACATCATTGATATTAACAAAATCGCCTTTTGGCAAGTCCACCAACAGCCCACTTTCCGTACTAGCGGATCGGATTTGGCGTCTTCCGAGAATTTTGTACCGTGCTTGTTGTGACCCCATCACACCTCCATTTATAAATTATCGGTAATGTTGAAGTCCCTAGGACCAGTGTTTCAACCTGAGTGTCTGCAATGTAGTAAACTTTTTCTTAGACCTACAATCACAAATTCACAATAAACCTGAATGTGTCCATTTACCTCTGACTATTTGTATGTATGTATGTTTCTTTTTCTATAGTAAAATTCCACACTGTATGTATTCATGATACATACATACATCCGCATATATGCATGCATGTTCTCGTGTTTCGACTAAAATTCGAATATAGCGAATTGAAGTAAACCTGACCTTAGACAATTTTATTTTTGGCAACCCATAATAAAACAAAAGGCATTTTTTGTGGCCATGGAACAAAGCCGTGTGGTGATGATGACGACGACGACGATGATGGCAGAAGCCATGCAGCACTTCTAGCAAAAAAACACAAAATCGTACAACAACCACAACATGATAACTCTAATACTCTGCCGAATTAGTTGTTGAGAGATTAACTTTACATTAAAACCGAAATCCCACCTTTCATGTTATTTTCTACTTCCCGTGTGTATGTATGTAGATGTGTGTGTGTGTGTTTGTGTATATAATAATATGGGCTTTTGAACCTTTTGGCGAGTTCAACGATATAGTAAAGGAAACCCGATACATAACTACAAACAGACAAACAAACATACATATTTGCAAAATATTTCTCTATACATGTGCATTTCTGGTTATCGCCAATTTGAAGGAGAAGCGGATATGCAAGCATTACTTCGCTTTTTTTGGGGTAATTCTGCTCAAAAGACACTGATGTGAGCACATCAAATTCGACCTCTTTGGAAATGAGTGAAGTGTACACATTGCACTCTTCACGAGTGAGTTTTGAGTTTATTTTATAATTTTTGCATTACAAATTCTCAAATTCCATAATATCTGCGTCCGGTCCGCTCGTCGTTTTGCA